TACATCTCAACATACAAGCACACATTTTCCATCTCACTGGCAAACACGAAAGCAGACTCCTACTTTACCTCCTGGCTGTCCCTGCGATTCAGTTCCTCGGACAGCACTCACGCTCTGCCATCAGAACATTTACCCCACCGTCAGGTTAAGAATGTGGCGTCCTCCCCGAGGGGCTCTGCTGACCCCTGCCTTCCAAAGCCTGCTGAGGTGGTCCTCAAAGGACTTTCGGACTCAGGCCTGTTCTGCCAGACCTTGGCAACAAGGGAGGCCACACGGGCAGTGACCCTCCTAGAGCCTCACCAGCACCCTGCAGGCAAGGACGCCTCTGTGCTGGCTGTGGGGAGCGGCCCAGGCCCACAAGGCCTGGCAGGAGGAAAGCACAGGCGCAGGAGCACAAAGAGGGCTTAACATGAGGGAAGCCGCTGGCACACCCCCGGCTGCCTGTGTACACCAGACAAAGCCACAGAGCAGCTGTCTGGGAAGGTGCCATAAAACCCTACTGTGTCCCTGGCTGTCACCGCCCGGGTGGGCAGCCTGCCGGCGAGGACACAGGACAGCCTCTTCGGGCGAGCGTCTCCAGGCTGCCCCGGCCCCTACCCTGCGGTGCCCAGCACTGGTAGGTGACGTGGCCATGCGGCCGAGGGCCTGGGTGGGGCGGTGGGGCCATGTCTTCCAAGCAGCTGTCCTAGCACCTGCCCTCTTTAAGTCCTTGGGGCCAAGAAGACAACGCTCAACTTATTTTATCTCAGGTGACACGCGATGGTAACCGGGCGTACTTTCTGGGAGTGCCTGGCCGGGAGGGAAGCGCGGGCAGAGGGGTCCTTATCTGTGTTCTTCTCAGTCCCCTGCCCCTCTGGCATGCAGGTTCCTGACAGCACCATCAGCTCTCCTCTGGAGCCCTCCTGAGAACCAGGGTCTCGAAGCTCTCCAGACCCAGCCTCAAGAGGGGCTCCCAGATGCCCACGGCAGTCCCGGCAGGGGCTCTTCGCAGCCGCGGGTCCTGCGAACACCTGTCGCTTTATGCTGGCCTCCTTCCGCCCCCACGCTTTGCTGATAGCCTCCACCCTTTTCCACACTGTCAAGTCACTGGGCTGGAACAGAAAGGCCTTATTAGCCGATCCATCTCCCAGACAGCACTAGAGGGTGGGAAAAGATCCATAAAACCTTGCCCTTGAATAGTCCCGACCATCCTCCTCCCCTCCACCTTGTAAACTTCACAGCCCGAGCGGGGAGGGCTGAGGTCATTGTCCACAGGAGACAGTGCCTGGGGGGTGAGGAGTTCGTGCTGCCCTGACGCCCGCCTTTGAGAACTCCCCGGGAGGTCCAGTCGGCCCTCTGATGCCTCCAGACCCCCGGGTGGCAGGCCTGACTCAGCCGAGGTGGCTCTAGCAGCTCCCTGGTTCATACTGCCACCAGCTACGGGGTCCTTGGCACGGCCGGGGACTGAGATGGCCCAGCCTGCCGTACCCCAAGGCACAAGAGCTCCAAGAGACTGAGGCAGGGGACTCCAAAATCAGCCCTCCTTGGGAACAGCCCTGCCACCCAGGGGAGCCTGGGTACCCCAGATGCTGTGTGGAAGCTGCCCTGCCAGGAGAGACCATGCTCCATTCCCACCCAGATTGCTGCCCGCGTTCCAGCGCGGCACCCTCACCAGGGCAGCTCAGGCTCCATCTGTAGAAGGATGAGGGGCTGGCCTCGAACAGGAGCTCCTGAGGAACTGGCCCCTGACTGCACCTCACTCACTGATCATGCAGGCAGACGGTGGCAAAGGGCACGGCTGCAGGGACAGAGGTGTCTCTACCAGTCACTCACCTGGCCGGAGCTTTACGATGTCAGGCACAACCAAGGCCGAGAGAGAAAGCTGGGGGCACCTGGAGCCCCTCTGGGAATGACCTCCCAGAGCTTCCCTTCACCTTAAAGCACGGCTTAACACTGGGGGGACAGTGCTGGAGCTGTCCTGTGACACGTCTCTGCAGGGAACCCGGGGCTACCTTGCCTGGGAGGTGGAATTTACTGCAGCGTTTTCACTGGAAATTTCAATAAAAATAAATGCTTTAAAATCCTTTCACTCTGGGGCTGGGGATTTAGCTCAGCAGCAAAGCGCCTGCCTGGCAAGCGCAAGGTCGTGAGTTCGGTTCCCGATACCGGAGAAAAACCAAAAAAAAAAAAAAAAAAATCCTTCAACTCTTCAGTATAGGTCAACCTAGAATAGGAGCACAGACATCATCTCTCGTGTTTTTCTTCCAGACCCTACCCTGCGTTTCCAGCCCAGTTCCTAGCACTTCCTACCCCTGGGGGCTGCCCAAAGCCCCAGTGCCAGCCAGGGTGATGGGCGCCGCATGGGTGGGGCTGGGCCAGGCCTGGGAGTGGATGGGGGCAGCAGAGGGGGAGGGCCCCAGGCCAGGCTCAAAACCAGAGGCCCAGCTGCCTCACCTCCTGCAAGAAACCTGGCCCCAGGTTGGCACTGCCTGGTTCCCTGCATGCCCAAAGCAGCAGCAGACACCAGCTTCAAGATGCAGTGGGCTCTGGAGGAGAGAGACCTGTGTCCCTGGGCCAACTGACTGCTCTTCGGGGGAGCAGGGAGTGCGTCCATTTCCTGCGGCCCTGGTGGGCAGGGAAGGGCAGAGCAGCTGCCCTTTGTCCTCTGGGAAGCCAGCAGCTTGGCAATTACCATGACAGCAGAGGACAAGACTGTCCCTTCTCTTCTAATAAACCTGGCGAACCCGGTGAGCTACAAGAGCAACGGTTCTGGGCCTGACGCTGGTGTGCTGAGGCAGTGGGGCCGGTGTGGGAGGTACCGGCACTGACCCACGGCTCCTGCAAAGCCCCGTCCAGCCTCTGCGTGGCCACAGAGCTCCCCGTGGCCCACGAGGCTGGGTGACAAACACTCTTTGCCTGGCATCTGACACACTCCTTCTCCATGGCAAGTGGGAGCCACAAGGGGTCAGGGATGACCACCTCCTAAAGGCTGACAGGTCAGGGTCAATCTTACACACAGCTTCGGGGCCACCACGGCAGGCAGAGGAGCTGGTGTTTTGGCATCCTGCTGTCCTGGGCCCTTCTCAATGAAAGCCTCGTCTTCTTGGTAGAATTTCGTTCTTATGGGTTTGTTACACTCTGTCAGGCTTGGGGCACTATCTTCCCGTCTGTTCCACAGAGGCCCGGTGTGGCAGGGAGAGGAGCCTGTTGGTCAGGCCCAAGTGGAAAGGGGAGACTGGTAAAGTAAGGCCAGAAAGGGTACAGAAATGGTGCTGCTAAGAAGGTAACTGTGCCTTGGCCTGTAATGCCAGCTACTCGGGAGGCTGAAGCAGGAGCACTGCCAAGTTCAAGGACAACCTGGCAGCTTACTTAGCAAGAGCCAGTCTTAAAAATAAGTTGGGGATGTCCTCAGTGTAAAGGCGCTGGCACACGCACACACGTAAGTGTGCCCAACTCCCAAGCAGACAGCTCTGTCCCTTCTATAGTGACCTATGTAGTGACTCAAGTTCAAGTTTCCGAAGCAGGCCATACCCATGCCCAATACATATAGTTTCTGTCAGAACTGGACTGGGAGCGGAGTGTGCCCACGCAGGGTTCCCAAATGCCAGTGTTGCCGGAAGTCCTGGGCACTGAGGCCCCTACTGTCCCTGAGAAGTACTGCAGCGTGGGGACGCTCAGCCGCACAGAGCCACGTCCAAATCCCGCCTGTGATGTGGCGACTCACAGCAAGGACTCGGGGTCCCCGGCACCTCTACAGCCTTCTCCCAGACAGCTCTTCTCTCTGTAGGACAACGTCCTCCACCGAACTTCCTGCCCGGACTCTGGCACCCTGTAAAGATGTCACGATGACAAAGTGGTCCACAGCACTCTGACTATGAAGTCCCACTGCATGTCACACCTTGCTTTGTTTTGAAGTCAAACCACTTAAAAGTGGCCAGTTGATCTCTCCTTATCTACCGAGCCCCCCCGGCTGCTGCTCTTTTACACTGGAATGAGCGCCCTGCCCGGCCCCAGCCATCGCTCTCACATCCCTGCAGATGCTGCGAGTGCAGGGCGGGGCGGGCAAACCCTACCAGTCTGCTGCCCAGCCACACTGCCTGCTGCCTGATCTCCAGGGACACGGCGCGGCTGACCCGCCACGTCACCCCGTGCTCAGCCAAAACCGTGACACAAGCGTCCAGTTCCGGCCCAGAGCCCAGGCAGTCACCGCAAGTATCCACCTCGGCGAGTCCGAGAAGCAGGGGACAGCAGCTCGGCTTTGGTTCAGGGGGTTCGGTGCAGACCAAGCACTGCTTTCACTTGTTAGGAAAACAAGGCCACAAGCAAACCCCGGGGGCGGTCACACCCCCACCCCACTCCCTCGAGGGAGAAGCCCATCTAAGACAGTAGCCCCTCTTCGCTTCAAAGAAAGCCCAACATACTCAGGAGAACCAGGGACTTAAAGTAATCATTTATTCAAGTTTTTACAGAAGGCAGTGCTTTTATACTGATTCAAATCCAGTGAGCTTTGATTCTACAAATATGGTCTACAAAAAAGATAGTCATGTGCAAAGCACATGTAAAGGGAAAGAGCAAATTCCCAGGAATCTTGTGAAGTGACAGTCACCAGTACAATTAAGTGTGGGCTCTGAAGACACAGGCCCCCTTGCCAGGCCCTGTAGCCCCGCTCACTTCACCTACAGCAGGCCGTTGCACAGCCCACGCAGGGCAGGATGGGAAAGTTCTTCTCACCTGGCTCACCTTGGTCACGTGATGGCACCCAACGCCAAGGTCTCCTCCAGGCACAGTAAGGCAACCTTCCCTCTGGACAGCACCAGGAAGTTGAGGTTTAAAAGAGCTGGAAACTAAAACACGTGTGGGAAATAAAAGTGACATCGCCAGACTTCCATGCTGCCTAAAATGCCGCATTTTAGAACCAGGAGGCTCCATAGGCAGATGGATGAATTCTTTTCAGGTCTAATAGGAGCAACAATACCTTGAAAAGGACCAAAAGACTCAGGTAGGAAAGAGGCACTTGAATGTAGAGAATACTTTCTCTCATCCATATTCTTTATTTTTAAATAGTATCAAATTCAGAAACAAACAGGGACACAGAAGACAAAATTCATTACACTTTATTAATACATTTTAGATTCTTATCCTGCACTTTTATAAAAAGGCATAGAAATTTTGGAAAAATTCATATACTGGACATATTAATCAAAATATTTCTGTAGAAGTTTCAGAACTCATCCGGAGGAGCACATCAGGTAAGTGTTCAAGGCCAGCGCTAGAAGCTGCACGGTTTTCCGGAATCACAGGGCTCCCCACGTGCGCGGCCATATGCAGAGGGGCCAGTGCAAGTGCTGGGCGCACCGCCAGCGCATCTCAGGTAGCGTCCATCGTCTGCATGGAAAGCGGCCTTACACCTCACAGAACTCAATGCAGACTCTGCACCCCGAGGGCGGGACAGAGACAGCGGCTGTGTGGGAAGACAGTTTACGAGGCTTGGTCTTTTATACAAGCCCAGCCGAGCCCAGCCTCTGGGAAGAGGAGCCCGAAAAGTGAACACTGGTGTTGCTGATGGCTTTAGCAGCCACATAATCCTTCCTTTGATGTCCAGGGTCAATGTGATCCTGGGCCCACCAGGGCTAGGAGGAGATGTATGAAAGAGACTCTCACTGTGATCTTTCCTGCAAAGGAAACAGCAATAAAATTTATTACCCGGTCACTATGGAGGAATTCTTGTAAACCAGTACCTTTGTGGGCCTCTGCCCTCCACTCTGGGGAGAGGACTTTCATCAGAGGACAAGGATGAGACCCGGGACACATCTCAAAACCCCCAGGGGTTTGCAGTTCAGCACAGCCACGGAACCCAGCAGGCTGTGACAGAGGCTTCATTTATAAGGCAGGGAGGGAGAGGCCTCTTTCAGCCCTGCTGCTCCAACCGCTTTCACAAGCTGAAACCCCGCACAAGAGGCGGCGGCCGTGCCTCCCGCCACACGTGGGACAAACACAAGCACTGAGGGGCAGCGGGCCCGCATTCCGCCGCCTTGGACAGTGGAGCTCAGTCCCTTCATGCTGTTTTATGAATCTACGGATCCCCGCATCACACGAGCACATACAGATGGACACTGGCGTGCAGGTCTGCTGTGGGCCGCCGCTGCTTCCTCCAGGACAGAGTCGGCCGGCCTCGGCCACAGACGTAGACGGGAGGCTTTGCTTAAGGGCTCGACTCCTGTTCCTGCTGAACTGAGCCAGTGTGTACAACGAGAACTGATATCAGCTCAGTAGGCACCGGAGGGCGGGTCCAACGACAGCCGGAAAAGCAGTGCCTCAGCTGGGAGCGCGGCTCAGCGTGGTCCCACTAGTGACTGCGGGGGACGCAAGACCTGGGCTGCAAATACAAGAGAGAGCTCACCGGGCCTGAGAAGTGACACAGAACCCACCCTGCCCACAAGCAATCAGCCGTCATATGGCTTCACTCAGTTCCTTGGATGTGCTTAGCTTCGGTTTTTGAAGAATAATTTGCAATTTCCAGTATATTCGACCTTCCAGACAGACGTCTGGCTCGTGGGTTTGTTCTGAAGACGCGCTGAGGGCAGCCAGTGCCCAGCGCGCACTCTTCACAGGACGCGGTGTGTCCTGGGCGGGCCGGTCTCCTCCAGCAGAGCTGTGCCCGCACGGCACTGGCCGCACCGCAGGGCCACCCGTCAGCAGTGGCCTCTGCCCAGCAGCTCCAACTTAAATGTCCCCATCTCACCTTCTCCCCAGGTGCAGAACTTAGCCACTGTGAACAAAGCGGAAACCAATCACTGTTCACCAATCAGCTAAGCTCTGCACCTTGTTAGAGAGGTCATCGCAGGGCATAGTTAAAGGGTCGGCGAGCATCTTCCGCGGTCCTTGGCTTCTGTTTCCAAAGAGCTACGAGACGCATCTGTTCTCCAAACTGCAGAGAGAGGGGAGCTGTGGTTTCGGTTTCGGGAGGAGCAGCCAAGGTCGTGGTTGCGTGGTAATCCCTGGCAATGTGATTTTAATCTTAAGTCACAAATCAGCATGCCAGGAACCCAAGCAGCCAGAGCACTCAGGAGCAGCACCGCGCCCTGCCACGCCCACCGCGCGCCCGCCGCCTCCAGGCTGGCAGCACAGGCATCCCTTAGCTGGCATCCCAGCGTTTTCCGCAAAGCACTGGGAGACGAGCCTAGGGACAACAGTGCAGCTCTGCATCAGGACACGGAGGTGCCTGATGGGCCATGTGAGAGAACAATCCAAGGGGGCTCTCCCTGCTCCTAGGCCCCTGCCTTTGAACCCTTGGGGACATGAGTGCCTCTCGCCACATGGATTCTACGCCACCTGGCAACATCTCGGGGGCCTGCTCGGGAGGGGGGCTCCCTGCTGGAGCGGGGCTCAGGAACAGTCCTTGTCCCTGTTCCTCCGAAGTGGTGGTGGGCTGCTGTGACCCTGCCTTCAGCTAAAACGGCAGGGACAGGGGCACACACTCAGGGCAAGGGCAGGAAATGGCAGGCTTTCCTGGCAGGTGACTGGGACAGCCCTTCTGTCTGATCAGGGACAAAAAAAATCACGAGGAGTCACGAGACCATGTGAGCCTCCACGGTTCTCCGGTGCGGGACCTGGGAATGAGCAAAGGAACGGGGCCCCTATCGCAGTTTTCATACACCAGGTAACACAAACCTTCCATGAAATTAAGAATCACAAGAGAAGAATGATTTACGCGGATTACTACAGGAGACGGGTGACAAGGTGAGTGCAGCTATTTCTGAGTTTCCATCGCCACTGCTGGGAGGGTGGCGCGCGCCTGATACAGCTGCCTCCCTCCACAGTGCAGAGTCACCCAGAGTTCCCTAGCAGCCCCTCTTCCTGCAAACGCGGTCCCCGGCTCTTCTGAAGAGCACAGTCGGAGTGCAGAAAAGCTCTGTGTCCTTCGGTATCAGCTCTTTCGGACAGGCAAGACACTTAGACAGAAATGGGCTTTGTAAGAGCAAAACTGCAGAGGTACACTGCATATCTAACAAAGGCAACAATGAATGCTAGAATGCTAGACAGTCATTAAAGTTACAAAGTATGCAACAACTTGACAAATGCTTGAGATCCAAAGCTAAATTTTTTTTAAAATGCTGAACGACATTGTATCATGTAAAATCTTGAAAAAAATAACTGAGAAAACACAGACATAAAGATTATTAGAGGAAAGAAACGCAATAATCTCACAGTATAATTTAACTTTATGTGCCACTGCTAAATTACGTACTTTAATAGTGCAGAACTTACACTTAAAAACCACCTGCTCGGAAGTTAATCCAACAGGTCCATCCGAAGCACTACAGCAGGGGAAGCACGTGTGCTCTAGGACTCCCCGGCGTTAGGCCAGGAAGAGATTCTTCTCCAATACAAGTGAGAAATAAGACCCACCATCTGGCACAGGGTGTCACCGAGCGAGCACACAGTGGAGGAACCCCAAGTCCACACGCAGTCAGGGGAGAGACTCCAGCCCCTGCCTTGACGTTGAAGACTGTAGGTCAGTACTTCTGCTGGGGTTCCCATTCCATCTCCATGCCTACACGAGGTCCCCCCCAAATTCCCCAGGTTACGAACCCCAAGGTGACTGAAAATGGCGCCAGAGAACTGGCTGCCTCTGTTGTACCATGGAGTAGCTGGCCCTGGCCTCCATTCTGCCTGCTCACCGCGGGGCCTGCGCAGCCCAGCAGGGAGCAGAGACTGAAGCTGCGGTGGGCTTGGGCCACCATTGGCTTCTTACTGGTTCATCTCCTGAGGGTATCTGGTGGGAACCACATGCAGTGAAAGGAAGGAGAAAGAATCACCTCTTTAAAACAGCATCTCAGCCACCACCTCTGCCGAGGACCTGTCCATCTGGCCCTTGGCCAGCTCGAAGCACCTGCGGGCGAGCTGCTGCTGCCTGGCATCCTCACCCACCATCAGCTCCCCATAGAGGTACACGCCCATCGCCTGCAGGCACAGAGGCCGGACAGCATTAGGAAAGGGAGCTCTGTCTCACACGTGCACATGCAGACACGGTCTGTGCTTCCTGAAACCTGCTGCTGCTAGGAAGCACGAAGGCCCGAGAAAAGACAGGTGGCTGTACGTCTGGAATCTGCAGCTTCCAATGCCTGTTTCTTCCTGGTTCTTGTGAAAACCCCACAGAGTTCTTAGCTAGTGAGTCTGCCAACAGATTCTGGCCACCTCCCTGGTGTAGAGGGACGCCTGCGTTGGAATGTCTGGACAGAGCCAGGTCGCTCCGGTGACCAGCACCGAGAGCCCTGTGCCTGCTGCAGGACTCGGGGGTCCTTCCCGGGAAAGTGTGCGCTAGGACTGGCTGGACCCCACTCCCGCAGGCAGCCCATCACCCACTGGAGCAACGAAGACCCCACTGCACAACGGGGACCCCAGGATGCCTGTCCATTTGCCCCCCGGCCACTGTCCTGCCACAGCCTTAAGTGCAGCAGACACTGGCTTTTCTGTTTGGAGAACAATGCTGCGAAGACTCCCATCTGTACTTTTTCTACATTTTAAAAGCAGCCAATCCTGTTCTGCAAGACTGAAGGGCCCCTTTGGTTCTGCCTGCTTTGTTGTTCCAAGCTGAGTTACTCCGAGGGTCACATTCTGTTGGAGCAAATTAAAAGAAGGAATTGAAAGGCAGCACAAGATAAAAACTCAGCGGTTAGCGATTCAAAAGTGTTTTCCTGACAAAGCTCAGACACGGTGATCCTTGCATGGCAAAGAGCATGGTTCTAAGTGTGCTCAGCCATTTCTGGTCTTCTGAACAGACCTGACGCTGCTCTCGAGCTCGCTGCTTCTGTGCTCCCATCTGCTTCTCCAAACTCCTCCTGCTCCACTGTGCAAATGTGACATTTCTGCTGCTGCGGTCATGTGCTTTTCTGTGTGGGAATAGCTGGCCCTCGCTCACTAGCTGCCCCCTGCCCCGAGACCCTGTCAAAGGTCCTTTTGTTTGTCCCGCCCTCTCCCTCCACCCCCACTGAGCACAGCCCCATTCCGGCAGCCCACAGTGTGGCAGGCAGCTCCTTCAGAGGCAAAAGCTGGGAGGGAGGCAGGCGGGGGTCAAAGAAGGCACCCAGAGCGGTGCCCCCACTGCATGCAGTGGACGTCAGAGGTGGTCAAGCATATCCCCCGATACTCCCTAACACACACACTTCTGGTGGGCTCTAAGTTACTGCTTCCTGGGAGGAAGCTCTTACGGAAGGGGATGGAGCTCAGGGCTTGGCAGACACCAGCCTGGGCTTTCCATGCCAGCCTGCACTTGAGCTCACAGCGGGGCTCAGGGGATGGGACCCAGAGCCTCTGGAGAGCTCCACAGGCGACTCAGCCAGTGGTCTGCGGGCAGTGAGCCCTCAGGTGCACCTGCAGCATGGCCCTCACCACTGTGCAGGGGTGCAGGCTGGGGCCATCAGCTCCAAAGAGCACTAGTGCCTGAGATGCTCCCCAGGACTCTGACCTCTTGGCAGTGATGTAAATGTTCTGAGAGAGATGCCAAGAACCTAGGACTCTCTGTGAGGGACACCCCCAGGGACAGGCAGGGGCCAGCACTGAAAGCATCCTCACCTGGTCCTCCTGAAGGAATCGCTCCACCTGTTCGTACGCACTCGTGTACTTGTGCTTGACAATGAGCTCACACCACCGATGGCGAACCTTGGAAGAAAGGAGAGGAAGGTAAGAGCAGGCTGGCAGGTTGCATGGCCCGTGAGTTTAACGAGAAAGAGCCATTGGCATGCCACACGGCCACTCTCTGAGTTGCGCCAGCACTGCTGACACATTTAGTTGTGTGTTTTAGTTTAGGTTCTTTTTAAAAGAGAAGAACCAAGTTCCTAATGAGGAGGGATCAGAGTTAACCCTCATGGGGGCAAAGATACATTTCAGCTGGGTGCTTCAATGCCTCAGATACCACTTTGTAAGCAATTGAGAAATGCAAGACTGGACTGGGAAATAAGGGCCACCTCCCCCAGCTAGGCTCCCGGTGGCATGACTTCCCACAGGGTACTGTGCCCAGGGGCTCCTGTCACAACTCTGACCACTTCATTTCTTGTAACAGTGGTTGATCCATGAGCCCGACTATAACAATAAAAGCAATAAGGAGAAGACGCCTCTCTCTGATCTCAAAAAGAGCCAAGGTGGCCCTTCTTACGGTGTGGGCCAGAAGCTGGAGCAGGGTGCTGCTGACCTAGTAGCTCCTGCTCCTGCTGCAGGGGTGCCCTTGAGCACAATATACTGGAAGCAGACAAGCTAGAAGCAGATGCCATCCTTTCAAAAGATATACTTTCTCTGGGAGACTGACGTAGGAGGATTTCAAGTTCAAGCCCAACCTGGGCAACTTAGCAAGAACTTATCTCAACAAAAAATAGAAAAGGGGCTGGGAATACAGTGAAGTATGAATAAAATCCTGAGTTCAATTCCC